TGCAACGCTGCAGAATGGACATGATGTACAGAGCCAGCACAGGACATGAGGCTGCCCTGGCATTCTCCCACTGCTGAACTGCTGCAGAATCAGGACACAGTCCTGGCATCAATCAGGCAGCCACAGGAGCCGTGTTATTTCACCTGCCTTCTGCTGAAAAGCCCTGCTCTGGCCTCTCCAGACCTTCTCCTTCGCACAAATCATGCTCCTGTTCAAAAGGCAGTACCCGTATTCAGATGGGAGTGTTTTTGCAGATCGTTATAACACTTTCACGTGCTCTGTCTGGGAAGGGGTCAGCGAGATGGCAGCTAATTACCACCTGTACATTTGCCCACTCATTGGACTTGGGCGCTGCCTCAGCATCTGGGACACTTCAGTATCTATTTGCAGGCTTTTATCAAAATATTAGCATGACTACTTAAGCCTGAAACTTCTGCTGTTGTTGGAGAAAAAACACCCTTAATTTCAAAAAGGTGCAGGTCTTTGTGTAAAATCTGTACTTCACCATGACTTAAACCCCAAACCAGCAATCCCAATCTAATAAGGGTTCAAGACAGCGCGAAGAGCTGTTTATAATGATATGCTACTGCCATCTTGAATTGGCTCTGGCTGAGATGGAGTTAGTTTTCCCCATAGCAGCCCTCATAGTGCTGCGTTTTGGATTAGTAGTTAGAAAGGCGTTGATGATGCACCAGCACTTTGGTTACTGCTGAGCAGTGCTCCACAGCATCAAGGCTGTCTCTCCAACATTTTCCACCCCCCCCAGAAGGCTGGGGGTGAGGAAGGTCTTGGGAGGGGACACAGCCAAGAGAGCTGACCCAAACTGACCAAAGGGGTATTCCATACCATATGACGTCTGCTCAGAAATAAAAGCAAGGGGAACGGAGGTGGAAGGGGAGGGCATTCATTATTTAGGTTTGTCCTCCAGGGTAACCACTATGCATACCGAAGCCCTGCTTCCCATGCTTGATGGCCAAACATAACCTACTGATGGGAAGTAGAGAATAAGTATTTCATTCTTTTGCTTCTGCATGCACAGCTTTGCTTTGTTTTGATTAAACTGCCTTTTGTCTCAACCCACAAGTTTGGGGTTTTTTGTTTCATCTTATTTTCTCCGCTCCCCATCCTGCTGAGGAGGGGGGTGATAGAGCAGCTTGGTGGGCACCTGGCTTTCAGGCAAGGTCAACACACCACACATCTAAAAAATGTGCAACATCATTAAGCCTTGAATAGATGGCCATTAATGACCATTAACTGTTTCCTCACCATCAGGGAACAAGATCTATAAGGGGGAAACTTTTACTAACTCCTACTTTGTCTTTATTTTCTGATAATTTTCAGGGAATACCAGTGAGGAGATACAACAAGCAAGT